GCAGGAAGGGGAAAAGACTGACATAGCCCAAGGCATCCACATATTGTAAGCGAGGGTTGGGCCGGCCCACCACTCGCACCAGGCCCTGAGGGGGTCTAGGCTTCAGCTGCACTGCTTTTGTGTGATTCCCAAAGTCTGCAAAGACTCCTAGCTCTGGGGCCCAATGCAGCTCATCCAGGCTCTCCTCTGCTTCCAGGGAGGCAGCCAGTGGGCCCAGCTCTGCAGCTGCCTCAGCCTCTCCCAGCTGCTCCGCTAGCCGCATCAGCACACGGGCACCCAGTGCCACCCAGCACCGCAGGTCCAGGTGCCGCTCAGTGGGTGAAGGGTGTGAAGCCCGGGGATAGTCATCCAACCCTGAAGGCAGCGTCTTGGGGTTCAGTAGGGTTGGCAAGGCTGGGTCCCGGCCCCGCCAGCGGTAAGATAGTGGCACTGGCCCTGCCTGGCTCTGATGAAGCCAGGAGAACCAGGCACGCAGGCGGGGGAAGGCCCTGCGGAGGAAGGCATAGTCGGCAGGGTCACCACCCTCTAGCATGTGGGCTACAGGCAAAAGCAGAGTTGGGGGGTTGGCGTGGGCTGTCCGTTGCACCAGGAACTCTGAGGGCACCCGGGCTCTGGCCTCATCCCCCAGCACCTGCTCCCGCCCAATCCAGCCGTCAGCATTTAGCAGCCCCAGCCAGTGGCCTATGGCCTCCCGGGTGAGCCGGGGATCCCACCGTTGGATCACCAGCTGGTGAAAGCCCTCGTCCCACAGGAAACCTCGCGGGAAGAATGACCGGGAGGGCACTGCTGTGAAAAGAGGGACAGGTGGAAAGAGGACTGGGTCAACCTTCTGCTTAGACCCCTCAACCTCCATGTCTGGCAACACCAGACCCTGTCCATAGAAGTAGCCAATACCACCAAGAAGACCACTGAGGGCAACCTGACCCAAAGCCTGCTCCTCAGAGCTCAGGCCCTTCTCCTTCAGCTGGAAGGTCTTCTCAAAGCGCTCTCTAAAGGCTTCAGCATGGCTTTCCAGGGCCTGGGTCAGCAGGCTGCCTGCCAGCTGCTCTAGGGCTTGGCTTCCTCCTGCCTGGGCACTGCCTGATTCAAACACCAACTCCACAGAAAAGGGGACTTTCAGTGTCACCTGTTGTATCAAAAATTGCCCTTGTCCCTGTCCCTGCCCACTTGGGCCTCTGTCCTCCCACTTCAGAGATCCTGGCAAGCCGAGGTAGCGTTCAGGGGAAGCCCCTGGGGGCCGATGCTGAAACCAGTTATTTAGGCGGCTCTTCACCATCTCTGTCAGCAAGGGAAGTCCTGGGTTGGAGGACCAGAAGACATTGTAGCTTGAAAGGAAAAAGATAAACAGGAAATATTACTCAGGAGGAAGTGGTGGGGATTATAAAGCGAAAACATGAGGTGATCAGGAGTCAGGATGGGAGAGTCTTGGCAATGCAGGGAACATGGTGAAAAGAGGGTAGAATGGGGGAGATGGAAATCAGGCTAAGTCAGCATCCATACCACCACCCCACACTCTCTTCCCCCAGTTACCTGCCATACTTGGGGGCTGTATCTCCTGGACTGGTTGGTGGCATAAGCGTAAAGCGGAAGTCACCAAGTTCACTGGTGTGTCCACTGATAAACTTCAACTGCCCCTTAGCCCCAACCTCTGGCACTAGGACTTCTTTGCCATCTGTTACCACATAGAAGAACAAGGACACCAAAGGGAGAGCAGAGGTACCTGAGGCCTGGGAGACCAATGAGGACATAAAAACACAGCATTAGGTTAGCAGTCTCTCCCCTGAGAATCAGCCTTAGGGAAAGGGACACCAGGTGAGAGCAACATAGTAAACAACATACATCTAGCAGTGTTGAGGGTCACTGAAAGTAAGCACCAGTGGGATGAGATAAAGAGCTCTGCACAGGGTTCTCTTGGGAAATAATAGTACTTTTGTCCCATGTACTATGCTAAGAACTCTACATATTATTTCCTTTAATTCTTACAATTCTGTGAGTTAGGTACTTTTTTATTTCCATTTTACAGACAAGAAAACCAAGGCTTAGAGATAGTAAAAAGAGATGGTCATACAGGCAAGTATTTAAGGCAGGCAGCAGATTCAAACCAGGCAGCCAGGCTCAGAGCCCCTGCTATTAACCCCCACTTTATCCTGCATTTGCACGCAGCAAAGGAAGGGTGGAGGAAGTCTAGGCTAGGGGAAGGGTGTCCTGAGGGCCCTGACCTGAGGCTCTACAGTCACTCTCCAGCTCCAGTTCCCTCCGTGTTGACCCCCAGGCCTCTTGACGAACTCAGTGGTGAGCCTTAAGGCCCCATCCTGGATGTGTTGCCGCCCGAAGGAGAGACCGTCGTGGAACTCCCAGCCATAGGGACCCACGCCGTCCCCCTGCTCACACGTGTGCCTGAGCTTAGGGGTCCCCGGGGTGGTGCCTTGCTGCGCCCACATCAGTCCTGGGGGTAGAATGGCCAGGTAAGTCAAAGAGAGAGCAGGGAACCTGTCCCTCTGGGTCGCCGAGAACTTCAGGGTCATCCCTCTTAATAACTCTCCTGATCCACTCCTCACCACCCTTGATCTGGAGCGAAGCTGGGGCGCCCAGATTAAGTGCCCGCCTGCCTGCCCGCCCCGCGTCCAGGTTACCGGTGAGGAGGGGCTGCGGACTGCGGGTCTTCATGCTGAAGTAAACGTGAGGACGGTAGGTGCCCCAGAAGAGGTCCGGGGCCACGGCGGGGCTGGAAGAGTCGGGAGGCAACGCCGGGGGCGCGGAATGCAGCGTGACAGCCCGCCGCGCACGGTGCCATGCCAGCAGCCAGCATCCCGACAGGCCCAGGGCCAGAGACAGGACCACGACGGCCAGAGCGGCTCCCGCAGCCGCGCCCCGGGGCCTGCCGCCCCGGCCTTCCCGTCGCGCGGGGCCGCTCCGAGCCGCCCTTTCAGCGGTCCGCGCTCCGTCTGCCGGCGCTCCGCGGCGCCGCCGCTCGCCCCGAGCCATCCTTGCACGGAAATCGGCGTCGCGGGGACCCGGAGAGATGGCCACAGAGCCCGGGTGCCTGCTCGCCTCCTAGGCTCGCGCGCAGCGCCTGGAACACCACAGATGTGTCAGCCGCACCCACCGACCCGTGCCTCTCCCTCCGCTTCCGCCGGAAGTCCCGCCCCTCCACGTCAGGTTAAGCCCCACAGCAAAACAGCGCGGCGTGGCGTAGGGCTGGTCCCTGGGGTCGGCCCTCTGGGCCGCGTCCACTGGATGGGCGTTTGTTTGGCGTTCTTACGCAATTGACAGGCTAGTAGGAAAAACCAATCACATTTGTCTTTTTTTTCTTTTAATAACTACTGTATATTAAGAGCATAAGACGCTGTCTTAAGTGTTTTACATTTAACCGCTCCCCATATCACCCCAATCAGGTGCCTGAAAACCATGGCCTAGAAAGTTCAAGTAACTTGGCCCTGGCTACAGAGCCAGGAAGCGGCTACCTTGGAACCCAGGTGTATCTGAATCATATTGTCCACACCCATGCCTTCTTACCTAGTGAAATGGAGTGGATCCAAAAGGATCTGTGATTTTAGATGTCATACCTCCACTCGGTCTAGGATTCCTTATCTAGATAAACCCTAAAAGGACCATAATGGTGGTGGCTGTACTTTTTTTTTTTTTTTTTCCCTTTTCTACAACCCAGGAAGCAAAGGTGCTTAGAGGAAAGATTACTTATGTCCAGGTCAGGGAAGGCTGTAGGAAAGAGGTAGCATCTGCACCTGATGTTGTCCTAGAAGAGCCAAGATTACATTTGATGATGGTTCAGAAATGCAACTTAGGGCTTCCCTGGTGGCGCAGTGGTTGAGAGTCCGCCTGCCGATGCAGGGGACATGGGTTCGTGCCCCGGTCCTGGAAGATCCCACACGCCGCAGAGCGGCTAGGCCCGTGAGCCATGGCCGCTGAACCTGCATGTCCGGAGCCTGTGCTCCGCAACGGGAGAGGCCACAACAGTGAGAGGCCCGCGTACCGCAAAAAAAAAAAAAAAAAAAAAAAAAAAAGAAAGAAAAAAGAAATGCAACTTAGATTCATAGTTACTTCTCTCCAACAGCTCAGCATAAAAGGTGTTTTCATAAAGTACAAATCTCTATCATCCTCTAAAAAACCCTACTCCACACCCTTATGCTATTCTAGCTATTATCACACCTCCCATCCAAACTCTAATTATATAAAACTACTACTTTATGCTGCACACCCACTTCTTCTTTCACTATAATATCTGACTTCTGGCCCCACCCTCCACTGGTAGACTTTTTACTCATTTAACAATCAGCTTCTGACCAAACCCAATGGTCAGTCCTTCCTTGCTACCACTGCACCTGGTCCACACCTATTCAATATATTGTAGCACTTAGTACACACACCTGAGTTTCACCATTCATCTTTGTATCTCAGTACTAATCAGTTGAAGTCACAAGGTTGATGCTAAATATTGGTAAATTCAACAAAAGTTTATTGCACACTCTGTATCAGGCACTATGCAAGGTGTGGGGGACACAGAGAAAACAGCCCCAACCTCAAGTTCAAAATCTGTAAGCACAGTGCCAGCACTCAATCCGTGTTTACAGCAGCGTTTGAACCATCCCTGTTTTTACAGATGAGAGTAGTTAATCTGGCCAAGGATAATAGCCAGTTAACCATGGACCTGAAGAACTCAAATCTAGGTTGTATCCTTTCGTCAATGAAGAGGCCTATAACATACGGCCTCTTAGATACTATGCTATGCTCACTCAATATTCTAGGCAGTTTACAGATACCAGTTTATTTATTGATTGATTGATCTTTGGCCGTGCTGCATGCAGGGATCTTAGTTCTCTGACCAGGTATTGAACCCATGACCCCTGCAGTGGAAGAGCAGAGTCTTAACCACTGGACCACCAGGGAAGCCCCACATATCAATTCATTTAATCTCTCAACAGTTCTATGAGGTAGGTACTATTATCCCCATTTTACGAATGAAGAAACAGGCACTGAGAGACTAAGTAATGTGTCCAAAGTTACATAGCTACTTAAGGGAAAAGCTAGAATTTCAATCCCAGGCATTCTGGCTTTTTACTACGCTATACTGTCTCCTGATAGTTTTCTTTCTTTTAAGGGAGAGGGGGGAAAACCAGTCCTTTGAAGATATCACCGTTTTAAGAGAGAGGTAGCAATGGGGTAGGAGGAAATATATTTGGCGAAGTGCACAGCAGTCAGTGTCCAGAGATTCTTGATTGCCTCGCTGGATATTCTGAAGTTTTTCTCTGAACCAGTGGCTAACAACCATTTTTTTCCTACAGCCTGAGGTAAGAAATAATTCTATACTGCAACCAAGTACATGCAGATAGACACACATACACATACTTTATATAATACCTATATCTATATTCATGATTATATGCTTAAAACTTAAGTTTCTTAAAGAGTACTTCCCAGTCCATGTGCCATCTACTGATACTTTTTATTCTATTTTACTTTTTTTTTTAAAGGCTGATTTAACCCCCTAAATTCACTTCATGATCCACATTAATGCGTGGCAACCTAGTATGAAAAACACTTTAGGCAGGGTGCCTAAAAAGTACTTTAGGCACTGTTCTCTGAAACAAGTTGTAATAATAAAACCAATGATATGCTTTGGAAAGATAAAAGCAGCAGCAAAAACGGTTAGCAAAAAGGAGACCAGGTGGGAGAATGCAACAATAATACAGGAGAGTGAATGGAAATGTAGAGAACATTTCAGGAGCTTTTGTTTAAGACAGAATATTATGAACTTACTGACTGGAGTACGCAGGGAGCGGGCAGAACCAGAGATAATGCTGTGGTTTCCAGCTCAAGTGGCTGAGCAGATGAAGTGCCTTTTAAAGGAATGAGGAAGTCAGGGGAGGAAGCAAGTACAGTTGACCCTTAAACAATGGGGGTGGGGATGGGAGTTAGGGGCCCAACCGCTCCACAGAGTTGAGAATGGGGGGATAACTTTACAGTCAGTACCCACAGTTCCACAACCGCAGTCAAACAACCACAGATCGTGTAGTACTTGTACTATGTATTTATTTGAAAAACAGGCATGTAAAAGGACCTCTGCAATTCAAACCTGCATTGTTCAAGGGTCAACTTTAGAGAGTATGTAAGATTATCGGGTTAGGGTTAGACAAAGAGTGTTGGTGGGATTTGGAGAAAATTGGTAGTAAGTACCCTGACTATAGCACAGAATTTGAGATTAGAGCCAAACAGAAATGTAGGGTTTAACCCAAGAGGGTAGTTCAAGTCATGACAGAATATGAGATGCCCCAAAAATAAAAGAGAGGAGAGAAAGAAGGAGAGTAGTATGCCTTTATGGTTAAAAAAAGAAAAAGGACCTGAGTGGAAAAGAAGTTACACAAGGGAGGGAATTAAGAGTGGCAGGTGCTACTGAAATGGAAAAATGAGGACTGAGAAACAGCATTTCTAATAAGAGTAAGAGGTACCTTGAGTAGTGTTGGAAGAAGCCAAATTCAAAAGGGTTAAGCAGTGAGTGATGGTAAGAAAGTGAAATAAAATTCAAATTTGTCCAGACCCCTCCCCATCTTGTCTCTTCCCAGAAACACTGGTTGGATTTGTAGTCACAAGGCTTTTTCTTTTCTCTTTTGCGCTCTGTGGTCTTCTAGATAGTGATTTGAGTAATTAAGTCAAGCTCTTCTTAGATGTGTCCTTATTAGTCTTAGGTGAAAACCTGCTTGTTGGTCTCTTCCGCGCTGTCAGCGCCCGGTACTGGCGCCCGGCTTGTCCCCGCCTCCCGCCGCACCCCTGGCCTGGATGTGGGAGGCGAAGGCAGTGAGCATTTCCTGGGCGGTGAGGTGCGCGCCGCGCATAATCAGGCGATGCCCGTCTCCTGGGAAGAAACAAACGAGTCAGGCACCGGGAGGACCGCGGGGCCAGCGCCGAGAGCTAGCGACTCCCTCCCGACTCCCAACCAGACCCACCGAACAGCACGTCCACGCAGGGCTCGGAGCCGTCGTGTCTCACGTCCGCTATCACCGAGCAGTTGAGGTTGGTGCAGCGAACTTTTTCGCTGCTCACGGCCTGGAGGAAGGTCCTGCGGTGAGAAAACGGCATGAGCGCCCGGCAGAAGGGGCTAGACCCTCGGCGGGAGGAAGGCGCGCCCCTTCGCGTCCGCACTCCTTCCCCCTCGTACCTTGTCGACTCCACGTTCTTCTCGAAAGGGCAGAATTGAACCCGAACCTGCTTGACAGAGCGGAGTCCGAGCCGAGACAGGGCCGCTGCCATGGTGACCCCCACCCCGGAAGGACTCGTGCGGGCGGAAGTGTCGCTAGTGCGAGACGCTGTGGACTGCTACGCGCTTCCGCAGTCCCCCGACCTCCGCCTCGTGCGGCTTCTCTGACACGGTCGGTGGTGCTGGTCCCCAGGCCGCCGCCCTCGGCTCCCCAGCCGAGAAGAGGAGGAAGGCCAGGAGGGAGACAGATGATTTCGGCACAGGGTATGGGGCGCCCAAAGTACGCGGTCAGTAAACACTACCTGTCATTAATAGCCCCCTTTATCACGGTGAAGACAATAAATAGTGCAAAAGCCGTTTGCACCTGGCTCCGATAACACGTCTTTTGCAGCCTTTACTCCTCTGTACCCTGCTGTGCCAGATCTACGTTAACACCGTCTTAAGTGCTGGTCCCTTCCAAGGAGAGGGCACCACCACGGCAGGGATTATAAACCTACCAGAGGGTAAACTCCACTCAGGTAGTTTAAGATTAAACACGTGGAACTCTGGAGTAGCGAAGCTTACACGTGAAGGTCCTACAGCCCAATATTCTTAAATGACTAAAACTAGTGATGGGGAGGGGAGTGCAGGGTACTATTATATAGTATACGCTGTGGGACTGATTTAGGTGTAGAAATTCCTATTCCACCTCTGTGGTTCCTGATGAATTAACTTTGTAGTAGTGTCCCGAACTTTCAGTGTTTAGCCTGGCTCCTGGGACTTAAGAGGAAGTGGCATCTAGGCTCCCTGCTTTCTATTGCTTTTCCTCTTTCCCTTTCCCCTGGGAT